CTGGCATGTTTATCGCATTTTACGGACAAGAATGGTATGCTCGAACCAGATGTGCACCGTACAGTAATCCAATTGCAGATGCTCTCTTACCAAGACATTGGGCTTGCAAGCGGGTTTAGCACTTCGGAATTATGAGCTGATGAAAAGAATCTTCAAAAATAAATATTCAAAATACGTTATTTACAAAGTGCACCATGAAATCGGTAAGAAATGAGAAACTGCTACCAAAAAGGTCTGGATGAACTCAAAAAAAGACGTTATGACATTGAAACTTGTACTTTAGACACATTTTAATACCATGTGATGCATATGTAGCATAATCATATATTTCGGCAATCCCTACTCAGCTTTCATTTACTTTTGTTCTACAATATTTAGATGTCGTCAAGGGAATGTCTCAAAGCTGTTCATAACATCGATGATAATCAAATCATTGCCGAAACTATGTACGCGAGATTTCTCGACACATTATAAAATGAGAGCGTGAGCAAACCTAGAGCTCAGCGAGGTTGCGCCAGTATAGCTACACTTCTCGTAGAGAGAATGCTCTTTACTCCTTTCCTAGAGCACTGCATAGATAATTCTAGTTACTTCTTATGACATGCCACATCACAAAACTTTTTATGCGTAGTTAGCGTGGCAACCACAATAGCTTTTTGCTGTCCGCCCCTTCGGCTAGGAGGATTCTCGAATGTGGTTGTAATGGTCGTCAATGCACAAATGTTTGTGCTGAACCACATCCTCTAAAGAAGTATTTCATATACAGCTGGCTCAATATAATGTCCACGACTAAGTATAATGCTTCAAGGTGGACCTTTAAACACTGGAACTAAAATTATTATTCCTCATCTGGATTACACAGTAACCAGTGAATCATACAATATAAGAGTACTAAGAAGCAATATCTACATGAAAGTGAGATGAACATAGGGAAAGCGTGAAACTAGAAATAGAGACTAAATTATGTATATCACTAGAAAAGATTAACCGGGCTGAAATTGATCAAGAATTATTCCTTACTTGCCTAGGAAACGCGGAAATTTTTTCCACGACACCTAAAAACGGAAAAGCTTAAATAAATTGTACGAGTTAGTTTTGAGGAGGTATCGAACAAACTGCAGGTATCGAACATAGTAAACAGCTAAAAAAAAAATATACTGATAAGCTATACAACAAATTTCGCGGTATGAATGAAAATTAGAACAAATACCACACGAGATCCAAGACACTAAATAAAAAGATCCAGGACTTTTAAAAACATCTAAAACACTCAGTGAAAACCTCTCTGTTAAGTCTAATCGTAAATCAAATAGATAAAACATGTGCGTAGTTTGATAGTATAACGCGCGCAACCGGCAAACTCACAATCAAATGCATTTGAAAAATAGAATGCGACTTTAAAACGTTAATGCTTGTGATCTTTTGAATTAGCGGTGGTACGTACATGTACACATACATAAAATGTTAGAATGCAAGCACATAATGAGCGAGCTTCTGTGAAGACTATTGATCACATTTTCTCATAAGTCAGTACATAGTCGCATTCTATGCACTTTTTAGAGTACTCGTCTTTGTCTTCGTTGTATTCTTCCTCTCCGTAAATATGTTCATGGGCTTTGTCTTGGCGAATCTTCACTCCAGATAGACCGCGTATCTACAGTTATAATTTGGTCAAATAGAGAGTAAGTTGAGGACGAAAAATTTAGGAAAAAAATTATAAAATAATTAATGTGACTAATTGGAACAATATGCGGAACTTTTATAAGTTCCTTGTAATTATATTTTGCTAATCGTACACTTGAACAGAATATGATCCCAAAGAGCTGAACCCACATGTTGTCTCATTTCCTTCACTTTCTTCTCAAAATTTCTTTCAGCTCTGACTTCCTTCTGAGTTGACCTTAGTTTTTTCTCAGCTTCAAACTCTTCCCAGCTCCCATATATCTCCAGCATTCGCGCGACAACCTGTATATCAATAGCCTGCCACGGTTCTGAGGCGAAAGAAACAAAGCGCAGAGGAGTGACTTAAAATGTAGCGATTTACCTGACATTTCAGATATAATTTCATGTCACCATAACGAGGATTGTGCGGATTCTTTTTTGCCCAAAATCGCAGTGGAGGCTCCCGTATGTCGAGGTCACAATCTTTGAGAAGATAATTTGCCTTAGCTTCGGTTCGAGGAATGAGTTTATGTTCGCCGAGGTCATCTCTGCAAAGAACGTTTTTGGAAGTAACATTTGAATAAGGGAAATGTGAAATAGTCAAAAATAAATGGCAAGAAATCGATCAAGAAAGGTAACTTCGTGCAGTAATATAGAGTTTTTAGCTTATAAATAAGGAAATAAAGTAAGGTATCCATAAAACTGCAAAGGAGAAAAGGAAATCTCAATTAAAAAAGAATGAAGTTATATAAGCTAGCCGTTATTACCTGCAGCCGTCACAAACTGGATGATTGTAGCGCTCCCATAGCCATGAGTCAAACATTGGTTTATTACATTTAATGCAGTTATCAGGGATTTCTTGACTAGCAAACTTGGCATCAGCTCCTAAACAGGAATTTTCACAACGAAAACTGTTGTTCCACATGAAACAACGCAGTGTCTTTCGCA